GTGTCAGGGCACATAAAGTCCCTCACCAGAACCAGGGCCTGTGACTGTGRRGCTGCTTCAAGCTGCCTGTAGAAGGCCTCATCCTCTTTGTCCTGCTCTGGTGGCCTGTAGCAARCACCCAYRACAGTGTCACCMTTACCAGTCTGCCCTTTTATCCTAACCCATGAGCTCTCAATTCACTTGTCATCCACCTGAAGACAGAGCTCRATAYATGCCAAATGCKRTCTCACAGAGAGGGCAACTCCACCACTGGAGAACCTTCCTGGTCTRTCWCTCCTAAACAGGGTGTAGCCCCACATGACAATATTCCAGTCATGCAAGCTATACCACCACATYTCTGTAACTGCRATGAGGTCGAAGCCCYGTGACTGCACACRTCTCTWGTTCCTCYATTAWGYTAGGAAAGAAAATGTGCTTCCMCTTTAGAAAGAACAAAGGATGTATAAGCATGTGCCCTCCAAGATCCATGGGAAATATTCCCATTGCCCTAAACTGGTGGTCCCACAAACTAGTCAGGTTGTAAAAACTCATTGCTGTGAGTACAAAACCATAAATTACATACACAGGAGAGCAATTGCACATGGTACACAGGACAGCTCAGTAAAATGCAACTTTACCGCTATTGTAGCCATACCTGACCCTGTACAAGCCGTTACTCACACAACAACTCTGCAACCACACATAGCAACAATACCAGGTTATTCATAGGTAGTATGCAGAGATGTTTTACAGGCACAAGGACAGCAGAGCCCCTTTCCCAAAGCTGCACCAGGTGAGCTGTGGCRCCTGAATGCTGCATTCATCAATGCCTCTACCTGTTGCAGCATCCACAGGGAGCAGGCAGCCCTGCTGCAGGAGCACCCAGATGGGAGGATTATGGGATGCTTGCACTCTTTCACAGCACCCAACAGGCATGGTCTTTCTTGCACAGACACATACTAGCCAGCTGTGTGCCAATGACATCCTGGCCTATTTCAGAAATAGCAAAGCAAACAGCACTWGGGAAGCGATTCTTCCTCTGTACTCAGCACTGATGAGGACACACCTCAAATACTGGGCCCAGTTCTGGGCTCCTTCATTCAGGAAGGCCACTGAGGTGCTGGAGCAGGTCCRAAGAAGAGCARTGGAGCTGGTGAAGGGTCTGGARCAAAAGTCTTATGAGGAGCGGCTGAAGGAGCTGGGGGTGTTCAGCCTGTAGAAAAGAAGGCTCAGGGGTGACCTTATCACCCTCTGCAACTGCCTAACAGGAGGTTGTAGGCAGGTGGGAATCMCTCTCTTCCAGACAACCAGAGACAGGACGAGAGGACACAGCCTTAAGCATGCCAGGAGAGGTTTAGGTAGATATTAGGAGGAATTTCTTCTCAGAAAGAGTGATTAGACATTGGATTGGACCGCCCAGGGAGATGGAGTTACCGCCCCTGGAGGTGTTTACAGAAAGACTGGACGCGGCAGTCAGCGCCATGGTCTAGCTGACAAAGTGGCGATAGATGACAAGCCGGACTGAATCATATCCGAGGTGCTTTCCCATTTAACCGATTCCGTGCGCAGACACGTTCATACCCGGCGCGGCGCCCGCCCCGCCCTGTCTCCGCCCCGCCCCGCCCTGTCCCCGCCCCGCCCCGGCCCCGCCCCGGCCCCACTCCACTCCGCCCCGCTGGCTCTGCGGCGCCGGTGCCGGTCATGGCGGCGGCAGCGCGGTTGTTTCGCGGGGCCGCCCGCGGCCCGCCCGCTCTCGCCTTTGCCCGGTCGCTGGGCTCCGCGCCGCCGGGGCCGGCGGGCCGGGGAGTGCGGCGGGCCGCGCTGGCGGCCGCGGGAACGCTGGGCGGGCTGGGGCTAGCGCTGGGGCTGTGGCGGCGGCAAGCCGCGCTTGCGGCGGCCCGGGAGGACGAGGAGGAAAAGGAGCTGCGGCAGCGGTTCATGGCACCGCCGGTGAGYGGGCTGCGGGAGCTGCGGCGGCGGCGGCGGGAGCTGCGGAGCCGCATGGAGCTGCTCATCATGGAGACGCAGGCGGAGGTGTGTCGCGCCCTGGCCGCGCTGGACCCCGGCGCCTCCTTCTCCGTTGACAGCTGGGAAAGGAAGGAAGGTACGGGGGAGCCACGGGGGAGCCGCGGACACCGGGACCCCGGGCTCGGTCACCATTCGGTGATCCTGACCGGAGCCTGGCATTGG